TATGGGAGAGAAAAAAGTCAGCTGTCCATGTGGGTTGACGTGCTTTCACTGACCCAGGGAGAGGGGCCCCCCTTTCAAGTGCCTAGGGCATGTGCCATACCCTGGATACCCCACTGGTCAGATCACACAATGTTAATTAGCAGTGTATACATCATTATGTTTAGCTAGAGCTGACCTTTATATTGTACTGTAATTCATGCTTGGTACAATCAGGCAAGTCAAATATAAAAAGAAAATCTTCTGATCCCCAGTTATTGTGGTTCTGGCATTATCTGTAGCACAGTGCGTTCTCTCGTTTATCTGTGAGGCAATGAGGGTGAGCATTTTACTGGAAGACTGGGGAGATTACAAGGAGTTCGCCACATAATTAATCACAAGTGAGCAGTAAACATCCAATTAAGATCTTGCCAAAAGAAGATATATCATAAAAACATGTAACCTGACGTGGAAGCGAACCTTTGATTTGTCCAAGGAGGGCAAAGTAACAGGTTAATTTTAATGTTGACCCCACCATCCACACACACTTACCCTCCCCTTGCTCCTCCACCAATTTCTTACACCAGGCTCAAAATATAACTAAGCCCATGAATAATGAGTGTGATATATTTCCAGTTAGCAGTCTTTAGATATGGTAGCTGCATTCGTTTACCTTTCTCATGGCAGGAAAATTTTTAGCAAGTACAAAAAATAGCTGTTGAACGTACCAGAAACGTTGTGTCCTTGCCACTTTCCGGGAGCTGAACAGGACACAGAAACACCATCTCCTTGTTACTTCCCGTGAGCTGAACTGGACACAGAAACACCATCACCTTGTTACTTCCAGTGAGCTGAACTGGACACAGAAACACCATCACCTTGTTACTTCCAGTGAGCTGAACTGGACACAGAAACACCATCTCCTTGTCACTTCCTGGGAGCTGAACTGGACACAGAAACACCATCTCCTTGTTATTTCCCGTGAGCTGAACTGGACACAGAAACACCATCTCCTTGTTATTTCCCGTGAGCTGAACTGGACACAGAAACACCATCTCCTTGTTATTTCCCGTGAGCTGAACTGGACACAGAAACACCATCTCCTTGTTATTTCCCGTGAGCTGAACTGGACACAGAAACACCATCTCCTTGTCACTTTCCGGGAGCTGAACAGGACACAGAAACACCATCTCCTTGTCACTTCCTGTGAGCTGAACTGGGCAAAAAAACAATCTTATTTTTCTTTGTCATCTTTGTTTCTATGTAAACTACTAATCCCCCCCCCATGTAATGGAGATGAACAAAGACAAACATGTTTGAAGTCCATCTAGTGCAGGGGTGGGCAACTCTGGCCCTCCACCTGTGCTTTAACTACAAATCCCAGCATGCCTCTGTCTCTGTGAGGCATGCCCATAGCTGTCATTCTTGCAATGCCTCATGGGACTTGTAGTTCCACAACAACTGGAGGGTGATCCACTGTGTGCATAGATACAGTGGAGAAGTGAGTGTAGCCACCCAGGGGCAGGAAGTGTGATATTTGCAGCATTGCTAGATGAAAATTGTATATGGGGGAAACAAAACCCGAAGAAAAGAATTCTAATGCCATTTCATCTAGGAACTGGTAAGCTTTGATATGTTACATTTCTGTTTTTGTACATACGACTCCTCCATGGTGTGCTGAATCTTCTTCATTGTCCAATCAGCAGGATGGGGGGCAGGTCAGTGACTTAGTTGTGCTGTTTTGTAGGGGAGGGAGGTCATTGGCCTGCTCTCTGTGTTATCTTGTCACAGGACAGCAGGGATGGGCAACTCCTTCCCTCCAGCTGTTGTGGAACTACAAGTGCCATGAGTCATTGCAAGACTGACAGTTGCAGGCATGACTTCCAGAGACAGAGGCATATTGGGATTTGTAGTTAAAGCACAGCTGGGAGGCTGGAGTCGCTCACCCCTGCAGTACTGGCTGAATTACAAAATCCATCGGCAGGTCCAGCAGTTCTCATACATGTTTTTGAAGTGTGAATCAATTTTTCTAGAGTTCAACTGTTGCCCCTGTACAGGAGCTTCCTGTAATAAAGACCAGTCACTGCTGCTCTCTTTTCTTGTACAGGGTGACTGGTCTTGTCTCCGCCCCCTTCTGTAGTTTCCTGCAGGCAGCCTGTAGTGGGTGGAGCCTACTGGGTCGCTCCCACAGGCTATGTACAGCACAGCGGTGATGTCACTGCTTAGGCTATGTACAGCACAGTGGTGATGTCACTGCTTAGGCTATGTACAGCACAGTGGTGATGTCACTGCTTAGGCTATGTACAGCACAGTGGTGATGTCACTGCTTAGGCTATGTACAGCACAGTGGTGATGCCACTGCTTAGGCTATGTACAGCACAGTAGTGATGTCACTGCTACCTTTACAAGATAATAAGGTATGCAAAGGCATTTGGTGCACAAATAATGGCTTTTTATCCTTTGTGGCCGTTGACAAATATAGTAATATGAAGTGTCTGTACCCAAAGCTCAGCTTTAAGAATCCCTGCTGTATTTTGTTCCTGTCTCCTTTAGAAACAAAAATCCCTAATTTCCTGTTCCGGTGGTCACAGAGACAGGAGATGTCTCCAGTTCAGCAATAATTCATTTTTGTATCCTCACACAGCTTTAAAGCTCTGTCGGGTTTTTCCTGCTATCTGTATAGCTATTTCTCTGTATAGCATTGAGTATAGTAAAAAGCAAAACTATTTTTTTTTAAAGTATACGTATCTCACTTTGTAGAGAATGCCCCTTGTATCCTGTTAGGTCTCTGGACAGGAAATCCCAAAGAAGCCTCTACATACACTTTAATTCCTCACTCTGTGCACATGAAAGAACAGTTTCCCTGCATTTCTATAGTGATAGATTGTGCTGAAGCTGCCAGCTGCAGTATCCACATGACACAAAGCTGTCCCATTCCACATAGACTTCTCTAGTAACTCAATCCACTCACAACTTCCTTTTTTTTAGTTTTGTTTACTTTGGGAAAGTGTAAGCTGAATTCACACTGCTCCATTCCTGTGAGCAGCGCTAACGCATGTGCGTTTTGTCACGCTATAACATGGATTGCGTTATGGTAGCCATCACGTTCTCAAACAATTCAACTCAACAAATCTACCTCCTCATGTATCACTTCCCCCTCCCTTTTAGATTGTAAGCCCTCAGGGGCAGGGCCCTCCTTACCATCTTGTCTTGAATTGTATTGTGATTGTAATGTCTTCCTTATATTGTAAAGCGCTGCGCAAAGGTTTGGCGCTATATAGATCCTGTATAATAATAATGGCAGCCCATTCATTTTCATCGGCTGTCAACACACAGAAGCAAACCGATAAGAACAGACCTACAGCATATTTTCTGATGCAGCGCACCACAATGCTCACTAATATGTGAATGTGCACTGTGCTGTGCTGCAGAGTTGTGTTGCCTTATTCCAGGTGTAGGCAACCTCAGCATTCTAGCTGTTGTGGAACTACAAGTCCCATGAGGCATTGCAAGAGTGATAGCTGCAGACATGACTCTCAGAGCAAAGGCTACTTGGCAGTATACTAATGGAAAACGCCCTACAAAACGGACCAATACGCAGCAAAAAACGCTCCGGGACCTTTTCATGCGTGGGCCGTTTTGTAGTGCGTTCGGGACGGGCGGAAATACGGACAGGTGGGAACGAGGCCATTGACTACAGTGCTATTTATTTTTTTGACCGTTTTGTAGAGCGTTCATCGAGCGTAGGACGCGCTACAAAACGGTCAGGTGTGAATGGGGCCTTAGAGATAACCCACCGCACACCTACCCAGTAAATCCCCTTGTCTTCTTGATGGGTCTTCTGGGAACAGGCAGATGGCAAAGCATTCAGTAGCTAGGAAGAGGTTCCCAGCACACCACAGCATCACCTTTAAAAAAGCACCTCATGTGTGGTATCACACTACATTGCCACATTTCGAGACCTCACAGGCTCCTCTTTTCACTTTGCCAGATGCAGGGCCCCTGTGAGGTCTGGAAACATGACAATGTATTGTGATACCATTGAGTGTCAATAAAGATCTTTTTTTTTTGAATGCTGAGGTGTGCTGGAACTTCTTCCAAACTGCAACGCACCCTATGATAAAAGTGTGTTTCAGCCCTTAGAACCCCTTTCATGTTTTACTGCTGTGTTCCCATTTGGATCATTTCTTCCTCCTTCCTATGAGGCCACCAGGACGGGAAGTGTTCTCCCCAATAGGAACCCAGACAGCAAAATTATTTGACAAATGTCCCGACTCTTCCCGATCTATACCAGAAGAATATTTAAAATAAAAATGAGGATTGGCGTTTTATTTTTAGGCTCAGCAACCCTAGAATTTCGGAAACACCAATCATGTAATTTCCCAAGATTTTGAAATGTAATTTTCATTCTAAACGGATGTGATTTAACCGCGGGTGGCGTCACCCCCCTTCTGTTTCCTCTCTTCCAGTCGGCGCCATGTGTGGTGACCAGCAGAAAATTGAGGAAGTGGCTGACCGTAAAATCGCAGAAATCCTCATTGTAGAGGCCTTGGCAAAACCCTCACAATGAATGTTATTTATAATGTACACAATTATAATTTCTCCCAGAATTGTATTCCTGACTTGGTTTTATATTTAAGAAGTTCACCATATTTATTATTCCACCAATGTTGTATGTTATTACCCTGATACGCAAAATAAATGTTATTTAATGTTTCTTAATATATAAAATTCCTAAAATGGTTCTAAATGATTGTTCCCCGACACCTGCAGTGCCCAAATTTCCCCCAAAACTGTAGAAATGATCAAATGGAACAACAGCACAACCCTGCACCTGTATATGTGGTTTTTGGCTTTGAAGTTCCTTTCATGTGTTCACCCCCCAATAAAAATACAGTGCCAAGGAAATATATTTAAAAACAAAATATTTATTAACACAAATTATCATCAAACATCAAGTCAGATTTTCTTCTCGGCATAAATACGTCTTAATATCATAAATATCAAAATATATAAATATGAAATAGATTAAACCATAAATAATAAAGTCTTTCTTTAGCAGATTATCGGTGCAAAATGTCACAGTTTCAAGTGTCAGTTCTAGAACAGTCTCTGTCAGGTTGTAGCAGCACAGAAGCATCATTGCATCCTCCTCTTCAAGTATTCGGTATAGTGTGGCCCCTGGGGGCCCCTTCATGCGTGCAGCAGTCCCTGATCTGTCTCATCCAAGGGACAGGCTGGGTTGACAGCTCTCTTGCAGGCTGTAGTGAAGTTCTCAGCGTTGGTACATCAGCCAGCTGAGGGTGGTGTCGTTGATTTGGGCACCTTGGCTGTGGTTGGTGAAGGGCACGGTGGGTTCCACGTGCAGAGGGAGGGCAAAGAGCTGCAGATCGTCCAACGTCACCATCGTGGGCACTGTTGGCAGCGGCTGATCATCTGGCATAGCCTCCTCGCAGCAGATCTGCACGAACACCAGCAAGCAGAGAATGTATAACCACCGTAGGGGACGATCGGTCTCGGGGGCTGGCAGATACTTCCGAACTTTAGCCGGGTACAGCACCCTGCGGTGTCTTTTGCTCCTTGGCCTCAAGGTGCCCCTTCTGGATAGCTTGGCAGGAGCGGCTTGCACAGCCTCCACATCAAAGGTGAAGATCTCAGGCAGGGAATTCCTGGCTGGCATGATGGGCATGGCACACTCGCTGTCTGACGAGGATGCCGAGCTGTCACCAAGGCACAGCATGGGCAGGGGGGCTCTGCACCGCCGGGATCTCTCTCCGGATTCCAGACACATTGTGTTATCACAGACAGATATCGGAAGCAGCTGTGAATCCAGATTGTTAGCGATTAGTGGAGAGTGAGTCTGAAGAACTGAGCGGACAGCCGCCCCTTATATAGTAACCAATCCACGCCCACCGCTGCCTGCCCGCCAATCAGGAGAGCGATGCTTGTTGTTGGATGGATGGGACTGAAAATTCGGGATGATGGAGTGAGAGTGATCGGCAGAGCTGGGACGTGAGAGAGCTTGCAACATATGTATGTTACAGTGCAGATATGAGGATCAGCATGACAGGGACATGTGTGAAGCTCTGCAATGTGTATGAAGATCAGCATGACAGAAGGAACAGTATAGTATTCAGGGGGCGCAGTATATCATGTAGGATAGAAGGAACAGTATAGTATTCAGGGGGCGCAGTATATCATGTAGGATAGAAGATACAGTATAGTGTTCAGGGGGTGCAGTATATCATGTAGGATAGAAGGAACAGTATAGAATTCAGGGGGCGCAGTATATCATGTAGGATAGAAGACACAGTATAGTGTTCAGGGGGTGCAATATGTCATGTAGGATAGAAGGAACAGTATAGTATTCAGGGGGTGCAGTATATCATGTAGGATAGAAGGAACAGTATAGTATTCAGGGGGCGCAGTATATCATGTAGGATAGAAGATACAGTATAGTATTCAGGGGGTGCAGCATATCATGTAGGATAGATGGCACAGTATAGTGTTCAGGGGGTGCAGTATATCATGTAGGATAGAAGGCACAGTATAGTGTTCAGGGGGTGCAGTATATCATGTAGGATAGAAGGCACAGTATAGTGTTCAGGGGGTGCAGTATATCATGTAGGATAGAAGGCACAGTATAGTGTTCAGGGGGTGCAGTATATCATGTAGGATAGAAGGCACAGTATAGTGTTCAGGGGGTGCAGTATATCATGTAGGATAGAAGGCACAGTATAGTGTTCAGGGGGTGCAGTATATCATGTAGGATAGAAGGCACAGTATAGTGTTCAGGGGGTGCAGTATATCATGTAGGATAGAAGGCACAGTATAGTGTTCAGGGGGTGCAGTATATCATGTAGGATAGAAGGCACAGTATAGTGTTCAGGGGGTGCAGTATATCATGTAGGATAGAAGGCACAGTATAGTGTTCAGGGGGTGCAGTATATCATGTAGGATAGAAGGCACAGTATAGTGTTCAGGGGGTGCAGTATATCATGTAGGATAGAAGGCACAGTATAGTGTTCAGGGGGTGCAGTATATCATGTAGGATAGAAGGCACAGTATAGTGTTCAGGGGGTGCAGTATATCATGTAGGATAGAAGGCACAGTATAGTGTTCAGGGGGTGCAGTATATCATGTAGGATAGAAGGCACAGTATAGTGTTCAGGGGGTGCAGTATATCATGTAGGATAGAAGGCACAGTATAGTGTTCAGGGGGTGCAGTATATCATGTAGGATAGAAGGCACAGTATAGTGTTCAGGGGGTGCAGTATATCATGTAGGATAGAAGGCACAGTATAGTGTTCAGGGGGTGCAGTATATCATGTAGGATAGAAGGCACAGTATAGTGTTCAGGGGGTGCAGTATGTCATGTAGGATGAAAGGCACAGTATAGTTTGGGAGGGCACAATGTAACTATTGCAGAGGACACATCTGTAATGTATGGCTGACACCAGTGTATGCTGCATTGTAGTAATAGAGTGATTGCATAGTAGATGGCACAGTCCAGAGTTCTGGTGCCATGTGTGCCCCTAGGCGTATTTCTAGAAGATAAGAGGACTACCTTTGTCCTATACAATAACATTTGTAATAAATAACATTTTTGGGAATACTAAGCCATATACTAACCAATGTGTGTAAGTACTTCTTTTTAGATATCCTTAGAGCTTATTCATATTTTGGGGGTACTGGCAATAGACATGTACAGTGGGGATGTGCTGGCATTCTGGGGATATTTATTGCTTAGGTTCAATAGTTATGAACAAAATGAAGGTTATGAATAAAATGACCACAATACAAAGAAAAGCCTTATGCATCCACTTTTTGATGAAACAAAAGCCTCAGCAGTCTCACACACCAGGCCAGGTTTTTATTTCGTTTAGCTGCTGAGATCCACCATCACATCAATACATGAAATCAGCAGCTCATTGTGACTTGGAATGTTTATTGTGACCGTCTATCCACTAACAACAATCACCGTGATTGACACCTTACCTGCGTCACCGACCTGGGAAAACCGTCAGGAACCGCGATGACTCTAGTAGGTGTGAGGATTTTCTCCAAGGGCTACCAAATAAAAACAAAGCTCCTATATTAGGAACAATCTCCTTTACTAGGATAATTATTTTACAGCTGAAAATAAAACAGAACAAAACAGAGACCCCCTTCCCAGCTCATGAAAGGATATGAAATATACTGGCACAGTACACAAACATTAAATTACCATGACCTGCCATCCTTACAGATGTGAACTGTAGAGGAAAATGTCGTTGTAGTTAAGAAAAAGTATCATGTTAAAACCCAACTTTGGGCAGCAGAAAAAAAAAAAACCCTTGTAGTCCCCCTGCACTGCAAGGGTTAAATTCTCATTTGGTCTAGACGGACAGGAAAATGCCATGATACGTGTCTTATTTCTCGTTCACAGCTGCACAAGTCGCCACCCCTCTAACTACTTCTCCAGGCGCAATTCAAGACCGGCAGATCTCCACTATATGTGATTACGGCAAAGGCTCATCCACACTTCACAGAATCGGAGAGCAGAGAAGAGCGTCGGCTGCCGGGAAAATTAGGATAGAGTGGAGCAAGTTATAAGCTCTGCCAGGTTTTTATTGCTAACTTCCTGTCCCAGGAGTCAGGATAGGGAGTGAGATGACACCTTCCTGGTGGACCAGGTAGCAGTTTTAACCTGGCATAGGTTCTAATCCTTCCCTACTGTGTGCAAAACTACGACAAGAAAAGTTTGAAATGTTTTTATTGTAGTCTACTTTAAAGTAACACTAAACTCAGAAGTTAAATCTTAAAAATGCATTCATGTACCTTAACTATTAACAAAAATGTATCTTATTTGTGTATCACTGGGCTGTAGATCCTCAAATCATCTCTGAATTCATGCTGACACTGTCCTTCCTTCTGGAGGGTGGCTACTTTTGTTCCCCATAGTCCCTGTGTGTTGTAAAGTAGCTACCACTCCAATCTCGCTCCCGTGATGGACTATGATCTCAATGCAGTTTTTTTAACTAAATATGAGACATGAGATTGTAGTCCATCACGAGAGCAAGCTTGGAGCGGTGACTACTTTATAACACACACAGGGATTATGGGGAACAAAAGTGGCCACACTCTAAAAGGAAGGACAGTGTCGGCATAAATTCAGAGATAATTTGAGGATCTACAGCCGAGTGATAAACAAATAAGATACAGTTTTGTTCATAGGGTACGTGATTGTATTGTTAAGATTTGACTCCTGAGTTTAGTGTCAATTAATGACATGAATCTGAGATGTAACTATAGCCATAGCAAAGCATGCATCTGCTATGGGGCCCAGCACTCTCCACCTACTTAATCATTTATACAGACTGCAAAAAAATGTGGCAAATTCAGTCAGATAAACGGAGTGTTTATACACTCTAGGAACCTCTATGAGATTGCTACAATGACAAATAGGATTTTGTATTCTGGGGGATGGAGAGAAGTGAGCACGGGGCCCCTTAATATTTTCATCATGGGGCCCCATCATGCATAGTTACACCACTGACATCAATATTATCTGTTGAAAGTATAAGACAAGTTTCATATTTATTTTTTTTCAAGTCCCTATTGTTATCTGAGAGCATGACGGTACTGGAAAAATATAATATTTGTAAGATTCCCCATTAAACACCACTTCACAATGATGACTCTGTGCATTTTCTTACTGGTTCAGCCAGTACACACTACAGGGATGCCCAGCGGAGTGAAGATTTTTCGCAGATCTATAGCGGAGACATTGCAGCATTTGGAAAAAATCTCTGTGTGATAATCACAAGTGGTTTGTGTCATTTGGTACTTAACATTGTTGAACAGCGACCATCTATTAATAAGTCTATCTTATTACGGTCTGATATATATATAAGTTAACATTCAATTACCAGTATTGATGACATGAATAAATAAAGAGCTGAAATATTTTTAATTACTGGGAAACTGCTGCACTGGGCTCTATTCAATGGACGTGTTCGCAGCTCCACGTGCCGAGCCCGCCAGGAAGCTGACAGCGCGCAGCGCCAATTACAGGTACTGAAACATTTTCCCGGTCCGCAGCTGCAGAGATTGGGAAATGCCTCAATGCCTGTGATTGGCGCTGTCAGCTTCCTGGCGGGCTTGGCACGTGGAGCTGCGAACACGCCCGAGCCCATCCTTACTGCCTACACGTTAAGCTGGCTACAGATGTATCATTTTTTATCGTTCAGCCCGCAGGCACTTGAAAACCCGCTGATTGGATGCAGTTGCTCTTTTGTCGACAATTTTCTTTTTAAATCGAAGTTTGGTGCCAGTAGGGCCACTCATAATTCAAATTTCGTTCGATTCACAGGAAACTGCCCAAATTCGCACAGTATATGACCAGCTGTAGGAGACCAAGGCACATGGGCATGTTATCTCTGTTAAAGGGGATGGTCAGAGTTCAGTCTGCCCAATCCTCACCTTTAGCAGACATCACATGACCATGCATCGGAGTATTTTAAAATGTCAGTAGTACTGAAGGGAACCTGGAACAACATTATCTTCAGTAGAGGTATTTCAGCTCCTGTAATACTCATTCATTTATCCATCCATGGAAGCAGTGGCGTAACAATCGCCATAGCGACCCAGGCGGCCGCTATGGGCCCCGGGTCGCTATGGCATGTGGGGGTGCTGGCTGTCACAGACAGCTCAGCAGCGGCCACGGCGCATTTCTCCTTGTAGCCGCTGCAGAGCTGTGTCAGTGACAGCCAGCCGCTGTGGCAGATGAAAACATTCAATTACCAGTATTGATGACATGAATAAATAAAGAGCTGAAATATTTTTAATTACTG